CTGAGTTATTCAGTATTGTTGACAGAGGAAACAGTGCAATAACAAATAGTAATGGTGATAATGAATCTCCTTGAAATATTCCTCTCTTGATATTAACCTCTCCCAGCTTCTCACCATTGATCTGCAACTGTGTCTTCCATTGTGCCATCGATTTTTGCACAAATTTTCTGATGTTTCTACTTACTCCTGTTATTTCTAGGCACTTGATTATCCAATCATGTGGCAGAGAGTCAAATGCCTTTTTGTAGTCAATCCATGCCACATTCAGGTTGGTCTTCCTTCTCTTGCAGTTTTCCAAGATCATTTTGTCTATTAGGAGTTGATCTTTTGTTCCTCTGCTATTGGGGCGGTTTCCTTTCTGCTCAGGTGGAAAGAGATTGTTTTCAACTAGATGCTGTTGTACTGCATCAGCTACCACACCAGTTAGTAATTTGAAAGTTGTTGGTAAGCAGGTAATTGGCCTGTAGTTACCTGGTGTTGCCCCTTTTGCTGGATTTTTCATTATTAGGTAGGTTTTCCCAGTTGTTAGCCACTTTTCAATTTCTCCTCCTTGTAGTATATTGTTGAACTGTTTGGCAATGAGTGGGTGTATAACAGTTAGATGTTTCAACCAAAACCCATGCAGTTCATCTTCACCTGGTGCTGACCAATTTTTGATTTTCTTTGCTCTTTTTTCTACCATTTTTGTTGTTATTACTAGTTCTTTCATTTCAACTTCTGTTTTATTTGCATCCACCTCTTTTAACCAAGCTGCATCCTTGTTGTATTTCTTTGGGTTATCCCATATCTGCTTCCAGAATTGCACTGTTTCTTCCTTGTCAGGTACTGACTGATTCCTTGCAGTTTCTCCATTGATGGATTGGTAGAAACGTTTCTGATTGGATTGAAATTGGAGGTTCTGCCTATAGTTTGCAATTCGAGCTTCATATCTACTGATTTTCCTGGCTATAGCTGTTATTTGTTGCTTTATTATTTCCAGTGCTTCCTTGATCTTCCTTGTTTCTAAGTGGTATTTCTTGATTAGGTATTCTTTGGTCTTCTTGTTCTTCAGCTTCTTTTCTTTCATCTGTTCTAGCTTGCTTGCATGTGATCTTAACTTGCTGATCTTATTTTCTAGTCTAACCTTCCATTTTTGTGGTGCACTGTTTGTTTGTTTTTCTTTTTGTTGATTTTGCATCCCAGGTATTCTGTTATAACTGCAGCTGTGCTGTACATTAGTTGGTTTGTTTCTTGCAGTGAATTGGTGCTTATACTTGCTATTGCAGTATTTGCATCTTTTAATGCTTGTGCTAGCTGTTTCTTTGGAACAAGCTTCAATGCAGGCAGCCTTATTCTGTTGTTTTTGTGCTGTTCTAGATGCTCAGTTATTCTTTGTTTCAATTCTTTTATTTCTTTAGTTAGAGGGTTTTGTTCTTCCTGAGGAAGAGGTGCCTGGTTTCCAAATGAGAACAGTTGTATATCTCTGCTGGATTCTTTCACTGCCAACTCCCCCTGGTTTGCCTCTACATTCTGAATTACTTCTTGTAAGGCTTTGATTTCTTTGCCCTGGGTAAACCTTTGCAGTTCGTCCAATTCTGTTTCTGTGAATACTTTATTTCGTGTTATAAATCGGCGTTGATCTGCTAGTCTCTGTTCTGTTATTTCTGATTCTGGATGTTGTTCTTTCCAGAACTGGTGCATTCGTTTTAGATATCCTCTCTTGTTGGACTTGATCTGTAGTAACAGATCATTATTTCTTTGTTTTCCATTACTGTGTATCTGCGACGGGTAAACACCTTTTCTTCCAGTAGTTCTGCAGCTGCTGGCCCTGGTTGCTCAGCCAACAGTCCTGAGTCCTGTAACCCATTTTTCACCAGATATCCAGGAACTCCAATATCTAGCGCGGACCTTGTTAACCCGGGCGACGTCCGAGCCGGTATGGCATTCTGCAATTTACGTCTCACCATATTTTTTATGGGAGAGACACTCTTTGTCTGACTCCTCTGATGAGACCTGTCCAGTATGGTTGAACCTCTGGCATAGCTCTCATCTTCCTCAGAGTACACAAGCCCCACAACCACGTCAAGGTGCCTCACTTATTATTATTATTATTATTATTATTATTATTATTATTATTATTATTATTATTATTATTGATCATCGCACAGTCAGCCAGATGTTCAGACTGGATTTGGCATTTTGTCTACCTATCGAGTCCTTACCCAGGACCTGGGATAGGCAGATGTGGATGTTTGATGGTATTACAGATATCGTCGCAGGATGGAAGCAGTTCCTAATAAGGCCGCCTTTTGCAATTGACTAATAGCGAATTTGTCAATGCCAATGGTGTTCAAGTGGTGCTCCAGTTGTTTTGGGATTGCACCTAAGGAGCCTATTACTATTGGTACTACCCTTGCTTGCTTTTGCCACAGTCTTTCTATTTCTATTTGTAGGTCTTTGTATTTTGTTATCTTCTCCAGTTCTTTCTCTTCTATTCTGCTATCTCCAGGCACTGCCACGTCCACTATCCAGACTTTTTTGTCTTTCTTATCGACAATTGTTAAGTCTGGGGTGTTATGTTGCAGGTGCTTGTCTGTTTGAATTCTGAAGTCCCAGAGCAGTTTAATTTTATCATTTTCTATGACTTTCTCTATTTTATGATCCCACCAGTTTTTGCTTACAGGCAAATGATATTTTTTGCAGATCTTCCAATGCACCATTGTTGCTACTTTGTCATGCCGCTGCTTGTAATCAGTTTGTGCAATCTTCTTGCAACAGCTTACCAAGTGGTCCACTGTTTCTTCAGCTTCTTTGCATAGGCGGCACTTACTGTCTGTTGCTGTCTTCTCAATTTTGACTTTGTATGCATTTGTCCTTAAGGCTTGGTCTTGTGCAACCAGAATTAGTCCCTCGGTCTCTTTCTTCAATTTTCCTGCTCTTAGCCATTGCCAGGTTTTATTATTATCTGCTTTCCCAGCTAATTTTTTCATGTATTGGCCATGTAGTGCTTTGTCTTCCCATGCCTCTATTCTGTTCTTCATTTGGTCTTTCTTGTAGGCCAGTTTGGTCTCTCCAGTAGTCAGTAAGCCTTCCTGATATACTAATTTCAGTGCATCTTCATCATTGTTCTTCAGATATTCTTCCAAAGCCATTTTTTCTTCTTCAACCATCTGATGTACTTGTAGCATTCCACGCCCACCTATTTGCCTTGGTAGATAAAGTCTGTCAATGTCACTGCGTGGATGAAGGGCATGAATCATTGTCATTATTTTTCTGGTCTGCCTATTCATTGCTTTTAGTTCTGCTTGAGTCCAATCCACTATTCCAGCTCTGTACCTAATGCCTGGGATTGCCCAGGTGTTGATTGCCTTTATGGTATTTCCTCCCTTGAGTTTGTACTTTAAGATCTTCTTCACTCTCTTGATGTATTCACCTCTAATCTTTTTCTTGACTTCAGTGTGCTTGATGTTGTCAGCTTGAAGGATACCCAAGTATTGCTAGTACTCTTCCTCATACAGACTCTTAATGTTGTTATTATTATTATTATTATTATTATTATTATTATTATTATTATTATTTTAGAAAAGTGAAAAGGAAAACTAGTCTCTGATTGTTGGTATTAAACAACAATTTAACATTTTCTAATTGTTGGTTAGACAGTATTAGCTTACTCAATTTTGTTTTCTCTGATGAAGAAAGATTTAGTACTTGCAAACTTTCACATATATTACTTATACTTTTGCAAAAGTAGTCTTCAGTTTACCTGTTGAGTAAAGAAATATGAGACAAAAAGTAAATAATAAATAATTCGACAGTGTTTAGCTAAAATGTGAATATTTCCAATAGGATTTAGAGCAGTGGTTCTCAACCTTTTTAATGCCGCAACCCCCAACCGGTCATCAGCTGAGGACTACTCAACCGGTCATAAGTCGAGGACTACTCAACTGGTGCAGCACCATTTGCAGAATGGGACTTTTCGCGGGCTCAGCAGGGCAGAGACAGCCTGGACAATTCCTATTGGATTTTGATATCCAATAGAATTAGACTCTATTCAAGAGAGTCTATTCTATTGGCTTTCAAAAGCCAATAGAATAAAAGGGAGTAGCACAGCTAAGGAAAAGGGGGAAAAATGGCAGACTGCGTTGTTTGGCGTGAAATGGTCGTTCGACCCCAAATGGGGTCCCAACCCACAGGTTGAGAACCACTGTTTTAGAGTTTCTTAGTCTTTTATCTATACTTCTTTCCTGCAAAGTAGGCTTTCTGATGTTTGAATGTTTATTATTTTTTTAAGTTATGGTTGTAAATTTAACTGCATTATAAATTGCAATTTAGTGCTTAGTGAGCCTTTTTTAGTGCCAGCTGTTGGTGGAAAAATGAGGTAAATAAATGCATTCCTCAGTGAGGCACATGGAATGGTTTTGTGTTTATTTTTAATTAAAATATTATGTTTGTTGGAATATTTTGAAGCTGATCTCAACCCTCCAGAGGGGACTTATATAATTAATATCAAAATAAAGTGTACCAGCACTTAAACTTTCCTATTACAGCAATTAGAGCGGGAAAAAACCCAAAGCAAAACAAAATAACAAGAAGAGCTATCTTATTAGGGACCCAATCTCAAACACAAGAGAAGGAAAATGCAATAAAAAAAAAATAAGGTAAGCACAACACCAGATAAAGTTTTAAAATGGCTCCATCGTCATGAAGAAAATAGTAAGTCCCCTGTGTCCTCTTGCTCATGTCAGAGTGCAGGATGAACCGCTCCATTTATAGAAATATTCTGGAGGAGGGATGGAAACCTTTCTGCCTCTCTTAGAGATGAGCTGGATCCAACAACAAGCTGAACACAAAAGATTGAGATACTGTTCACACTTGATACACTGACTAGCCAAGGAAATGACGAGAAGGAAATTGTTCCCTGTCTCAGGAAACATGTGGCAACGCAAGATAAGGGAAACAGTTGCTAATTGGAGTATAAAAGCAGGAAATCTGATACACTGATTTCCTTTCATGCAAACAGAACAAGTTTGGGGAATGTGTTAACGAATTTTTTTGTTTTCCCAAATCAAAATTCTAATACACTCCCCATTTACTCTGAATACAACACTTCTTAAAATTGCTTTCTTTGTCCATCTTGAATGCTATGGATAACAACGGCACAAGCCCTGAGAACTTCTGGCCCCCCAATTTCTGGAGTAAGTATCCTAGTTGACTTGTTTCTTATACAAACAATGTGGATAAAAATATTTTCTATATCATATGCTTCTCTGAATTCTCTCTGCTATGCAATTAAATGGTATCCAGCATAGATAGTGTATTCAGTATAAACCAGAATATTTTATGATTAAAAAAAAGCATTTGCAAAGTAGATTTTTTTTTAACATTGCTATCCCACTTTTTGGAGTAATAATAATGACAACAATCATAAACTGGCCAGATATTGACAAATTACCAGTCTTATATTAAGCTCAATTTGTTTCTAGATATAAATGTGTCACGAACCTTCAAGGGACATTTCATGCTGGCAGCAAAAAAAGCAGGATTGCTACTTTCCTGTTCATTAGATCTACTGAGGTGAATCCAGTAGAGAAGTAGGCTATTTTTTTGCCCACAAACTAAGAGCCTAAACTGAAAACTATAAAAATAATGGAATATTTTCAGTTGCAATCTTGTTTTTTAAGGCAGGGATAATTTGTGATATTCTTAGGCATCCTCATTACTGTTATTCTTTCTCTGCTTTTATCCAACCAGCGTGGCATCAGCTGGCACTTCTGTTCAAGAAGGTATTGTCGTTGTTTGTTTTGGAAAGTATGGCCATATTTCTCGGTTACTGGGCCCACCTATTGATTTATTCCAGCTGCTTTGTTGCTCTTATACTGTGTTCTGCCTTTTGTTGTCCTGGGCAAAGATCAGACAGAAACAGGCAAGGAAGTTGTGGGCTGGTGATCCAGAACCACACTGCCCTGTCTTTGCCAGTCTTGGGAACCTGTAAAGAGATGGATATTTAGACAGGATGTTTGATGCATAAAGAAGCATGGCCAGTGAATGTGCTCTTACTATAAATAATATTGATTAGTAGTCATGAAGGACCTTTATTTTGAGCTCTTATTATTAAACGCTTCAGATTAATTTTCATTCTGATAGAACAGAACAGAATAACAGAGTTAGAAGGGACCTTGGAGGTCATCTAGTCCAACCCCCTGCTCAAGCAGGAAACCCTACACTATTTGATAGAAAACTGAGCTGCACAGAGTTCGATTAATTTACTTCACTGAACATGGGACTTATTACAGCATTGTCTGAAAATCTTGTTGCAAATGAATACAACCTATTTTGAGGTAGTAGGTGTGAATAGTAGCTATAAAGGGAGCTTGCCCATCATGGTCGCAAATCATGACAGTTGTTAAGGGAGGGACCAAGGGATTGCCTTGCTTAACAACCTCAATCAGTGTTCTCCCCATACCAATCATTAAGCAGAGGACATGGTGCTTCAGGGATAGGGGAGACCCTGAGAAGCCTAGCGCAAGCCCATTGCAGCACCTTCTCAGCTTCCCAGATATCATGTTTTGGAAGCAGAACCAGCTGATCTACACCTCGGCTTCTCTATACATTACAGAGGCTGCATGGCTGCATGACACTGTCCCAGAAGTGTGTGCCATTTTGCAGTGACCATAATTTATTTGCAGAAACTCCCAAAATGGCATCTGCTTCCAGGATGGCACATGCGGTCTCCATGTAGGAAGGTCCTTTGGTAGATCAGCTGCTTCCCGAAAGAGATCTATGAAAAAGGTAAATGACCAAAGTGTGACAGAGGATCAGGAGGTGGTTGTGGGACCCAGAAGGGTGGGAAGCAAGTCCAAGGCCTGAGGGGAACCAGCAGAGAAAGATGAGGAGGAGTTTGGGGGGGAGAGGGTTACTGCAGCATCTCTGAAGTCAGTCGTAAGGTGATTGGATTCCCAAGAACTGAAAATTTGTTCATGTGACTATAGGGGCATTGCAGGAACCATAACTACAAGCAGGGGTGATAAGTCCCTTCATTCAGAGCCATTGTGATTTCTAACTGTCGCTGAAAAAACAATCATAAGTCAAGTACCACCTGTAATGTCTTCTTTGAAAGCATCTCCAAGCATCAAGGTAATCAGTCATCAAAGAAATGGAAGAACAGAAATTCTATTAAGCATAATACTTGTCAAACAAAATGGCATCAGGCATTTGGAGGGAGCTAGAAATTCAAACAATGACATGTTGAAGATCATCAAGAAGACCACGAAGTACAGATTGTGAGAGATAATTATCCTGCTATACCCTGTCGTGGTCAGCTCTCACCTGGATATTGCATTCAGTTTTGCACAACTCACTTTAAAAAAGACACTGAAAAACTGGATCAGGTCCAGAGAAGGGCTACCAATATATTCTCCCCTAGTCCCATTTGTGTTAGAGTTACCATTTAAGACACTTCCGTGTTGCAAGGATTAGCCAATGACATCACCATTGCTGTGGGGGAGTGCCTCTGGGGCTCCTTGCATGTCTCCATCAAGGAGCTGGAGCAAATGACAGGACTCACCCTGCCACGCAGTAGTACTTTGGTCTCAAATACTGGCTTGCCAAGCTCCAACCCAGGGTCCAAACCATGTGATCCACCATGCTTTCCTACCAATATAGTGAAAGACTGGAAATCAAGTCTTAGAGAAATGGCTAAAAGTTCTACAGCTTGTAGAAAAGAAGGTTGAGTGAGGTTACAATAGTTGTCTTTAAATATCTGAAGTGCTGTTACATTATAGAGGATTCTGACTTATTCTTACTTGGTCCAGTGGATAAAATTAGAACTAAAGGAATAAAACTTCATGGACATCAGGAAAACCTCTTGACAGTGAGAGCTGTGGATCAGTGTAATAAATTTTACTGCAGGGTTTCTTCACTGGAGATTTTCAAACAGAGGCTGGGTAGTTATCTATGGAAGATATTGTAAAGAATCCTGCATTGTGCAAGGAGTTGGACTTGATGTCCTCTTAGGTCCCTTCCAACTCTGTAATTTTATAAATATCTTCCTTGTAGGTGACTCCTTGAAAGAGATGGACCTTTTCCTGGGCTGATTTCATAAGGGAACTTTATATTTCCTATCCTCCTGACCCTAGGTGACTACTATACAAGGTGTAGCTCCCTTAAGAAGGAGGCCACAGGTACAAAGAGGATGATCACTCTACTTCTATTACATGGTTCCTCACTTCAAGTCCAAAGTCCAAGTTTGAATATTGCACATTGATAGAGAAAAACTGTTGAGTTTTGTGCTATGTGATATCTTTGTGGGTATTTGAAGATAACTGAGTTTCAGTCTTCTCTTCTGAAAGTTCCCAGTTTCTTCATTTTCATAATAATAGAAGTAATAAAATACTTTATTGGCCAAGTGTGATTAGATACTTGTCTCTGGCTCAAATGCTCTCAGTGTGCATGCAGAGCAACAGAGTAATAATAATAATCATAATAGTGACACCAGTAAGAAGGGATAGTAAAGAAGATGGGATACAGTTGTACAACATTGGCAAATAGATGTAAGACAGCACTGTAGGTGTTCAGCAATATGATGGCCTAAGGGAAAAAACTGTCTCTGTGTCTAGTTGTTTTGGCATGCAATGCCCTATAGCAGTGGTGGCAAACCTATGGCACGCATGCCAGAGGCAGCACTCAAGCCCTCTCTGTGGGCACTTCTCTGAACTGCTGGTGGTTGGCTGCGGAGCCCCAGAATGCGCCAGTCGAGGGGCCGGCAGGCTGTGACTGCTGACGGACACTGTTGGCCCCCATGCAGTCGCTGGCCTCTGTGTGCGGGGACCAATGGTGTCAGGCAGCAGCTTCCCCGGCCCCTGCTTTGCCTTGCCCTGAGATAATGGCACCCCCACCCTGCCTCGCCTCACCCCGCAGGACAAGCCTCCTACCCACCACCCCACCTGCCAGAGACCCCCTGGATCTCCCCCAACCCTGCCCGGCTCCCACAGGTGTCCCTCCCCATGAGCAACATCAAGGTGACCACACCTACATTGGCCATACCCACCCAGTCTGCCATGACTACACCCACCCAATGGGCCATGCCCACCTGGCACCCGGCAATAAATAAGTGGGTTTTGAGTTGCAGTTTGGGCACTCGGTCTCTAAAAGTTTTGCCATCACTGCCCTATAGCAGCATCCCAAGGGGAGAAGTTGAAACAGTTTGTCTGAGATGTGACGGGTGTCTGGGTATCTTTCTCGACTTTTCTTGTCCATTCTGTCTGAATCTTTGAGACGAATTAGAGATGAGGACTAGATAAAGATGAATAGTAAAGATGAGTCTGACTACTTGAGAATGAATGGGACTTTTATTTTGCACAATTTGGAAACGATATTTCTGTAGATACAAGCTAAAATTACATTTGCTGACTCATATTCAGTTTGCAAAACTATTTCCAAGAACTATTAGCAATCCATGTATCATTTGCTAAATCTGTAAATTTGATTTCTGTCTTCTACCTGAATATTTTCACTTCATTTCTGTAAGTTGTCAAGATCATTTTGATTTTATTTCTGTGTTCTAAAATATTAATATGACGCTCCATGAGATGTCATCAAGTAATTTGGCAAGCACTGTTTAACCTCTTTGTCCAGTGACAAAAAAAACCCTCCACAACTCAGTGTCTCAGACAGAAATTAAAATAAATCTTATTTCTAATTGTGAAGGACCAACCTTACCCATTTCTTCAAAATAGTTTGTACTGCCATTTTTTTCAAAGAAAAAGGGGGGAAATGTTTAAAGCATCTGTTAGATGACATGCCTCAAAGGCATGAATTAAATGCAAGTGGCATTAAAGAACATAAGGACAACCTTTGTTCAAACTCATAGTAGAATGTCACTGAATGCAGACTGTTAAAGTTTTTCATTAAGTAATTCAGCTACTCAAATGAAATTAAAAACAAAGCATGCACACAAGAGAGTGAGAGAAGTCCCCTCCCCTTATCACAATTCAGTCAAGGATGCCACCTTTGTTTGTACAGGTTTCTATGTCTTAAAAGCTGTCTATCACACAGCAAATAAGCAGGAAGTAAAAATGTCTACTTTCTCAAAGGATCTGCTTGCTAATTTCACATGCAGAGTGTCTGCTTGCTATGATAAAGAGGCAGGATTTCTGCAAGATACATTGAGTCACTGATGATTTCCATAACTTCTGTT